GGCAATTTCATCACAATAGGATATGTAACACAGATTAATCAATTTTTTAAAAGCTAGTTACTTTCTGGTTAACTACACCTATTAATATTGCTGAAGTTCACTTCCAGCCAACTACTACGCTGTTTATTGAGCTTGTCAGGAATGAAAAGCTGAACACTTTCAGTCAGAGGTTTTCACCTTAGATCAACCAAACTATTACGACTGCTTAGCATTATCAAACAGCTTAATGCACAAAGCCCTGTAATAGAAAGTCATTCACATTGCTTGTATGAGATATCGGACAGAACAGTTGCTTGGGACAACGCAGAATTACATCTAACATTCATGCAAATCACTACTGGGTACAAGCAAATATCGATCATTCGCAAGGCAGGGCATTCTTGTAGCTACAAATTCAAATCAATTGCAACACCATGAAGATTTAAACGGTTGAAGCAGTCAAGTTTTTAAAAATATTGCCATTTGAGAAGTGTTAACTTTGCATGACTGATTCTGGGAGATTCTATATTCAATAGGGAGCTCTCAATTCAGTGGCTTCTGCATAGACCCTGTGCGAGCAAGATGGTGGCAGAAGGGTTTATCACAGGATTAGTCATCCCAAAACCCAGGAGACTAGTACAAATCCCACCACAGTAGAAGTTAAATTCAATTAATAAAATTTGGAATATAAAGCTAGCCTCAGTAATGAAACTCAGCAATTGGTGTAAAAACCCACCTGGTTCACCAACATCCCTTAGGGAAGGAAATCTGCCATCCATACCCAATCTAACCAACATATAACTTGAGCAATGTGGTGGACTCTGAAATGGCCAAGTGAATCACTGTTGTAGAGTCATACAGAACAAAAAACAGACCCTTCGGTCCGATGAGTCCATGCCGACCTTGTTCCCAAACTAAACTAGTCCCACCTGCCTGCACTTGGCCCATATCCGTCCAAACATTCCCTATTCATGTACTTATCTGAATGTCTTTTAAATGTTGTAACTCTCCCCGCATCCACCACTTCTTCAGAAGTTCATTCCACATCTGAACCACTGTATAAAAAAAAATTGTCCCTCATGTCTTTTGTAAATCTCTCTCCTCTCACCTTAAAAATATGCCCATTAGGCTTGAAATCCCCCACCCTAGGGAAAAGACACCTGCCATTTACCTTATCTATACCCCTCATGATTTTATAAATCTCTACAAGGTCACCCCTCCGCCTCCTATGCTCCAGTGAAAAAAGTCCCAGCCTATCCAGCCTCTCCTTATAACTCAAGCACTTCATCCCCAGCAACATTCTGTTACTTCTCTTCTGAAGCCTCTCCAGCTTAATAATATTCAAATGTAATTGCAACAAAATCAGTGACACCCACGAAATAATTTGTTCCTTTAATTAACAAAAAGGTTTTGCCAAAACAACTCACATAGGTGTGCAAACAAAAATAAAATTAAATCAAGAGATAGTAGGAACTGCAGAAGAAGGGTCTAGGCCCGAAACGTCAGCTTTCCTGCTCCTCTGATGCTGCTTGGCCTGATGTGTTCATCCAGCTCTACACCTTGTTATCTAAAATTAAATCAACCTGTTCGAACAAATTATGATGAGATACCTTTGGGGCATGTGGGACTTGAACCTCCTTGGGGCACTATTACTGCATTATATAGACTGTAGATAAACACACTGAAGGGACATACAGTGAGAATAATGCTACCACAGACTTGCTGTGCAGTTGCCATTAAAAGTGCAACCAATATTTTTTTGTGTGGTCAGTTAGTACTAATTTAGTTACTACCATTCCTTCATGCTCCCAAAAGACTGATGGAAGTAGTTGCTCCGTTATGATCTTTATGAAAAGCAAAGGAAACAGACCAACTGACACCTAATATACCAATTACTCATTGTGAACTTCAGTAAATTAGCAAATCAAGGAGCCACTGGATAAAACTCAGGAGCAGGAACCCTCTTGGAGTTTCTCCTAATCCAGGACATTAGACCAGATGTCTCTCTTTCAGCTCCTAGAGGCTAGGTGCTGGCGTGGACTGAATTAGTATTCTGAACTTTTCATTTCTTTATCTTTCTAATTTATTCCTGTGATCTGTAACGCTGGACTTATTATTTCTTTCCTTTTCTAACTTCCCCCCCACTCCCCCCAAGAATTTGTTATTAAGAATCTGTACCTGGGTACCTTTGTAATGTGGAGACTTGTAAACTTTTCACTGTACTCATTTGAGTACATGTGACAATAAAGCTAACTCAATTCAATTCAATTCTGATATGGTATCTAATTTGCCAGTGTGACAATGTGCAAATTCAGCACAGATTGGTGATGTTACCTGGATCCTTTTTGGTCCATAGAATTCAGTCACTTGCTCAAAAAAGTTACCATGCTGCCCAGGAAGCTGCGAGAGATTGTATCAAAAACAAATTCCTACATTTGTAGGAGTCTGTTTTCTTCCAACTCAGACAACAGCAAAACAGTCATGTGAGGTGGCTTGTACCTGACTGTAACCCTTTCACTGCAATTGTTTGCCAATGCACCTTCCAAATAATTATATTTACATTGAAATGGTGGCCCAGTTCAGTTGAGCTATCAGACACTGTGCACACCATTCAGATAACAGCCTCTCTGGACATATTAAATGGCTTTCTTTCTGTCTCAAGACACAGATATTACATCTGTTGCTGGTAGTACTTGGAGCCAATACAGCTCCTGAAAGCAGATAATGCTCACGTTCAGGTGGTCTTAAATAGCCAGCGCGGGATTGAAAAGACACTAAAACCCAAGCAAATGACCCAATTCGAGGTATTATCTTATACGTCAAGGGGGCAGAGTTAGTAAAGGGTTTCAGCCAACCACAGCAACAAGGAGATGGCACTGCACACAGTGAAGCACGACCTGGGTTGGTAGTGTGCAGTAGAATGTGTTTAGTGGACAAACCACCTGGAGTTAAGTTCTAGTACGCCGGGTCAAACTAAGCAAGTGGAGTTGTGAGTATATACTATTGCTCAAGACCATAAGAAACAGGGACAGGAGTAGTCTGTTCAGCCCCTCAATCATGCTCTGCCATTCAATAGGGTCATGGTTGGTCTGACATTCCTCACATCTCCTTTCCTGTGCTTTCCCTGTAACTCTTGATTCCCCGACTGATCAAGAATCTTTCTCAGCCTCAGCTCTCTGTGGCAAGGAATTCCGAAGACTCTCAACACTCTTAAGAAATTCCTTCTCATCTCAGTCTTAAATTGGCACCTCTTAATTCTGACACTGTGCCCTCTGGTTCTCGACTCTTCCATGAGGAGAACATTCTCTTAGCCTTTACCCTGTCAAGCCCCTTAAGAATTCTGTATGTTTCAATGTTAACACCTCTCATTCTTCTAAACTCCAGTGAGTAGAGTCCCAACCTGTTTAGTCTTTGGTCAGAAGACAATCCCTCCATAGCAGGATCAGCCATGTGAACGTTCTCTGAACTGCCTTCAACAAAATTGTATCTCCTTATATAAGGGTATCAAAACTGCTCACAGTACTCCAGATGTGGTCTCACCGGCACCTTGTACAGTTGCACTAAGATTTCCTAACTTATATCCCAAATCCCTTGAAATAAGGGCCAACGTCCCATTAGTCTTCCTGATTACCTGCTGCCCCTTTGTGCTCGCTTTGTGTTTCCTGCACAAGCACTTCCAAGTCCCTTTATGTTGCAGCTTTTTTCCATTTAAATAATATTTGTTCTCTCTTCCAAGATGAACAAGTCTGCAATTTGCCAGATTATACTACATTTGCCAACATTGCGCCATTTAGTTAACTCTATCAATATCTCTCTACAAACTGTTTGTATCCTTCTCGCAACTTGCCTTTCCACATATCTGTGTTGTCTGTAAACTTGATTACAGTACATTCACTTCCTTTCTCCACAACATTTATTGTAAACAGTTGTAGTCCTGGCACTGATCCTATTGAAACCTGGCTGGTCACACATCACCAACCTGAAAAACAACCCCTTATCCTCACTTGATTCAGAGATAGTAGGAACTGCCGATGCTGGAGAATCTGAGATAACAAGGTGTAGAGCTGGATGAACACAGCAGGCCAAGCAGCATCAGAGGAGCAGGAAGGCTGATGTTTCGGGTCTGGACCCTTCTTCAGAAATGGCGATTTCTGAAGCTTTCCTGCTCCTCTGATGCTGCTTGGCCTTGTTATCCCTTATCCTCACTTGCTGTTTCCTGCCCACATTTCTTTAGTGACACTGACGGTACTTAATTCCTCCTCCATATTCTTTAGTATTAGTGGGATATTTGAAGTATCTTCCACCATAAAGACTGATACAAAATGACTGCTCAACTCCTCCACCCAAAACCAATTCCACAGACTCAGCTGCTAAGTGGCCTCTGTTCACTTTGATCTCTCTTTCTGATAAAGAAGCTCTTCTTGTCAGTTCAATATTCATCATTAGTTGGCCTTGTAGTTTACTTTCTCTCTCTTTATTATATTTTTGAATCCACCTTTGCAGGATTCTGAATTTATCCCAGTCTTTGGGGTTGTTGTTGATTTTGGTCACCTTATATACTATGTTTTCAAGTTAACACACTCCTTAGCTTCCTTGATTAGTTCTGGTTGGTTTGTCCCTCCCTTTGAATCTTTCCTCCTTGCTGCAATATATTTTTGCTGAGTCACGACTAACCTCCTTCAATGCCTGCCACTACTTGCTTACTGTCATTTCTGCTAATCTACCCGCCCAAATCACATTAGCTAACTCTATTCTCATTTCACTGAAACTTCCTTTATTTTAGTTTTAGTGGGTTAATAACAGGTTTCCACATCGAGTGGAAATTGCATCAAGGGTTTGTTTTGTCACTAATAACTGGAGTTCAAGGTACCTTACAAGGAGGAGACTCCTTGCTTACACAACAGTGTAACAAATACCAAGCAAATAAAACCTGCAGCTAATTCCAAACCAGACAATCCCCCTGTCTTCCCCACAATGGTCTAAAGGTTAGATGCATCAATTAAGACACTGAGAAAAATAACTTTTAAAGCAAATTACAAGATTTATTTGAAGAAGGAGGGATGTTTGAACCATGTGGGCAAAAGTCACAGACAGTTTTTTTTGTGGGTGAGACTCTTACTAACCTTTTACAAAATTTACAAAGTCATCTCCCAAATCCTGAAATTTGGGGCTCACTTTTGCAATTGAATCCTCTAAAGTGATGGAATATATAAGTGGAAATTTTAGAGAAAAGTCTCAGTCAAAACCTTCCACAAATGCTCAAGGAGAACAAACACTTTGTACCTTAAACTGTACTGAACTTGTTTTAAATTAAATATAAAAGCTTGACAAAGGAACTTCTCTCTCAGAAGCTGGGTGCCAAAGACTACACTGGAACTTAAATCTTCTAAACCACAGGTTAGAGTGACGGAGCAGTACATGCAGAATTTTCAAAAATGCGACAGGAAATATGCAAACTCTTGCACATCCATCATATTGCATGGATAACTGGCTTCTCAGCCAGCTCTGGTGATATGGAGAACTGTGGATTTGGGATACTGAGCCAAGATATTGCTCTCTCTCTCTGCCAGCTGCTTTCAACAGCGTCCAGCTCAATGGCGTGACCAATGGGTACTCTATTTGCAGGACCAAACCACCATAAAATCAAGGAGAGATTAGACAAATCTTGCGGCAACGAGTGTGCAGTTTTCAATTCTTTTCCCCCGCTGCAAACGTCAGAAGTTACTAAGACCAGGAATAAATGCGAAATGATCTGGCAGACTGGAATGCTATGTTTCTGTCATGAGAATCAAAGTTTGCAATTAAGCCAACTGGATAAAACGGAACAACGTCACAACGAGCTGGAGCAGAACCCTTTGCGATACGGGCCCTTTCAGTGGGGGATCGGGGTAATCCCCATGCTCTGCGAGGCCAGGGCGTAGCTGACCATCGGCGTCGTGGCGTGGCTCATCGTGATGCCGGGGATGGGCTGCGTGATGGAGACGGTGACCGCCGTCATGGAAACGGGTGTGGCGGCCATGCCCTGGGCAATGGTCTGGGCCAAGGCCAGCTCAGGTGTGAGGTGAGGGCCGGGCGGAGGGGGAGGGGCGGCGCTGGCTGGGGGTCCGGCACTGGCGGGCACAGGCAGGTCCTGCCGGGGTTGCAGGGCCTGGCTGCTCAGCGAGTTGTGAGCTTGCACGATGCTGTGGTTGTAGGCGGTGACGGCGGCCACAGTGGGCGGCGCTACCAGCTGCTCGGCGGCGGTGCTGGTCAGGGTCACCACCTTGGGCTGGCTGCGGTAGTGGGCGTTCTGCTCCAGGAGAATCTCGTTGGTGGCCATCAGGTTTGACGCGTGCTTCTTGAGCTCCTCGACCCTCTTACGCAGCATCAGGTTCTCCTCCTCCAGGTAACGGTAGTCGGCCGCGAAGGGACGGGAAACACCAAGGTCGAACACGTCAGGCCGCATGCTCTCCACCCAGCGCCTCTTCAGGAGGTGGCCATATTCATCGTGGACATCTCCGAATGGGGGCGAGGTCTTATCGCGGGGAGCGCTGGCGCCGTCACTCTCAAAGTGGAGGAATTTGCACCTGGAGCCGCGCTGACAGCCGCCATACAAGTGGTCGCGGCAAACTGGCACTTCCCCTTTGCCCAAGGGCATCTCCCCGCTCAGGGTGCCAAGCTCGGACGCCTTGGTAACCTCGGGGTGCTGGAATTTGCAACGCTTGCCCCGTTTGCAGACATTGCGCAAAAAGTCCCGGCAGATGTCGCTCGAGCTGTGGCCCATCTTGTCGCTGCTGCTGAAGGCGTTGTCTTTCTCTGGCATTCTGCTCCTTAAATGCTTACGGTTTTGAAGCGCAGCTGTCTGCAGGCGGGGCAGTCTGAAAATAGAAAGAAAAATGTCTTTTCACACAGAACACTACAAATCAAAAAGGCGTTTATGTAGCACTTTTACGACTTCAGAACAGACGCTTCAAGCTTTTTGTTCAGAAGAACCAGGAGTTCAGTTCAGATTCCCCAAACAGAAGCATCAAGTCAATTAAGGTGAGGCAGTGACCTCAGCTGAGGTGGTTTCTAGTTTGCGAAGCTTCCGTGCCAGGAGAGTTTGGTTACAAATCTTAGAGTTGTTGGAACCCAGAAAATTTGGGTCATCACAACTGAAGGAGGTTGGTGACTGCAAACTTGGAAAGAAATTGTAAAATTGTCTCCACGATGGGAAAAATTGGGGAAAGTTAATAAATATTTTAAGAGACAGGGGTGCTATTTCTTTTGGATCACATCTTAATAATAGTGTATTGGGAAACATGTTATAGCTTTGGTTTGGTGTCTGTGCTAAGACCTTTCTCCTCTGTATAAAGCATAGCTTGTTTGTTTCTTCTTTTGTGTAATAAACTTAAAGAACATCTGAAGCCTCATGTGAATGTAATTCAGTGACAAATATTTCAGTATTACCAACAGCTGGGATGCACGTCGTGGCACTTTTGATTTCCGAGCTGGCCGACAGGCCTCAATAAACATGCCACTTGAGCGATGGCACATCTGACAGTAATCCCTGGATTATTCCTGGTGTCACGTGTTACTGAGAGTAGGAATAGGATGATAAGGCAAATGAATGCGTAGCTGAGGAGCTGGTGCTGGGGCCAGGGATTCAGAGTTTTGGATCATTGGGGTCTCTTCTGGGGCAGAGGTGACCTGTACAAGGAGGACGGGTTGTACCTGAACTGGAAGAGGACCAATATCCTGGTGAGGAGATATACAGAGCTACACGGGAGGGTTTAAATTAGTCTGGAGGGAAGGGGTGAGACCCTAAGCAGTAGTGGGATAAGAGAAAAGGTTGAGGCTGGTACAGAAGTTAAATAGACAAGGCAGGCAAGAGCACAGCAGAGAACAAGGGAAGACTGATGAAATAAACCGCATTTATTTTGATGCAAGAGGCCTGGCAAGTAAGGCAGATGAACTCAGAGCATGGATGGGGACATGAGACTGGGATATCATAGCTATTACAGAAACATGGCTGGCAGCTCAATGTTCCAAGGTAAAGATGCTATAGGAACAATAGTGAGAGAAGTGGGCGAGTGGCAATTATGATTAGGGAAAACATCACAGCAGTACTTAGAATGAGAATGAGGTTTATTTCTGGGGGATTGTCCAGTGAGGCTATATGGGTGGAACTGAGACATAAGAAGTGGATGATCACTTTGATGGAATTGTACCATAGGCCCTCCAGGAGTCAGCAGGAAAACTGAGAAGCAAATATTTAGGGAGATCGCAGAAAGCTATAAGAATAATAGGGCTGTAATATTACAGGAGGTTAACTTTCCAGACAGACTGGGACTGCCATAGAGTTAAGGGCTTGGATTGAGAAGAATTTGTTAAATGTGTTCAAGAAAACTTTCTTTATCAATATATAGATGGCCCTACTAGAGAAGAGGCAAAACTTAATCTCCTCTTGGGAAATAAGGCAGAGCAAGTGACTACGGGAGGGAGCACTATCGGACCAGTGACCATAATCCTATTAATTTTAAAATAGGTATAGAAAAGGATAGGCCTGGTCCACAATTTAAAGTTCAACATTGGGGCAAGGCCAATTTTGTTTATATCAGACAGGAACTTACAAAAGTTAACTGGGAGAAGCTGTTCGTAGATAAAGGGACATCTGGGAAGTGGGAGGATTTCAAAAGTGAGATCACAAGAGCTCAGGGACAGCATGTTCCTGTTAGTGTGAAGGGGAAAGCTAGCAGGAGCAAGGAACACTGGATGACTAGAGATATTGAGGCTCTGGTTAAAGAAAGGAGGCATATGTCAAAGTAAGGACAGCTGGGATTAAGTGAATTCCTTGAGGAGTACCGGGGGTGCAGGAGTACAGGGGGTGTAGTTAAGAGGGAAATCAAGAGGGCAAAAAGGGGGCATGAGATAGCTTTGGCAGATAAGGTTAAGGAGAATCCAAACAGATTCTACAAGGGTATCAAGGACAAAACAGTAACTAAGGGGAATATTGGGCCCCTTAAAGATCAATGAGGCCATCTATGTTTGAAACCACAGGAGGTGAGATCCAAAATGAATATTTCACGTCAGTGTTTGTTGTGGAGAAAGACATGGAAGCTAAGGAACTTGAGGAAATAAACAGGGATGTCTTGAAAAGAATCCACAACACAGAAGAGGTGATCCTGGAGGTCTTAAAACACGTAAAGGTTGATAAATCTCTGGGATGTGACCAAGCATATCCCAGGACATTGTGGGAAGCTAGGGAAGAAACCGTGGAGCCCTTAGCAGAGATATCTGTATCATCGATGGCCATGGGTGAGATGTCAGAAGACTGGAAGGTGGCTAACGTTGTGCCATTATTTAAGGAAGGCTTCAAGGAAAAGCCAGGCCAAAGAGCCTGATGTCAGTGATGGGTAAATTGTTAGAGGGGATTCTGAGAGACAGGATATTCAGGCATTTGGAAAGGCAAAGACTGATTAGGGATAGTCAGAAGGGTTTTGCGCGTGGAAATCATATTTCACAAACTTAATTGAGTTTTTTTTGAAGAGGTGACCAAGAAGATGGCTTAGACTCCCTACAGTGTGGAAACAGGCCAATTGGCCCAACAAGTCCATACCAAACCTTCGAACAGCATCCCACTCAGATCCATCCCCTTACCTTATCCTTGCATTTCCCACGGCTAATGCACCTAACCTACACATCCCAGGATAATACAGGCAATTTAGCATGGCCAATGTACCTAACTTGCACATCTTTGGACCGTGGGAGGAAACCAGAGGAAGCCATTGCTGATACGGGGAGAATGTGCAAACTCCACACAGACAGTCACCCGAGGGTGGAATTGAACCCAGGTCCCTGGCGATGTTAGGCAGCAGTGCTAAGCACTGAGCCACCGTGCCACCCATAAAGTTGGATGAAGGCAGAGCGATAGAGTTGTCTATTTGGACTTTAGCAAGGTCTTGAACAAGGTTCCGCACGGTAGACTGATTAGTAAAGTATAGATTACATGGAATCCAAGGAGAGCTAGCCAATTGGATATAACATTGGCTTAATGGTAGGAGACAAGGGGTTGTTGTTCAGACTGAAGGCCTGTGAGGTGTTGCAAGGATTGGTACTGGGTCCACTATTGTTCATCACTTGTATAAATTAATCTGGACGAGAATATAGGAAGCATGGTTTGTAAGTTTGCAGATGACACCTAAATTGTGGTATGGTGGACAGTGAAGGAAGTTATCTAAGAGTACAAGGGATCCTGATCAACTGAGCCAATGGCCAAAGAGTAGCAGATGGAACTTAATTTAGATAAATATGAGGTGTTGCACTTTGCTAAGACAAACCAGGGCAGGACTTAGTTCATAGCAGGACCCTGGAGAGTGTTGTCAAACAGAGAGACCTAGGGGTACAGGTACATAGTTCCTTGGAAGTGGTGTCACAGGTAGACAAAGTGGTGAAGAAGGCATTTGGCCTCATCTTTCAGAGCACTTAGTACAGAAGTTGGGACAACATGTTAAGACCGTACAAGACACTGGTAAGGTCACATTTGGAGTATTGCGTATAATTATGGTCACCCTGCTATAGGTATGATGTTATTAAACTGGAAGGGGTGCAAAAAAGATTTACAAGGAAGTTACCGAGACTGGAGGGTTTGAGTTATAAGGGGAGGCTGGATAGGCTTTTTTCCCTGAGCAACAAGAGGCTGAGGGGTGACCTTATACAGTATTATAAAATCATGAGGGGCATAGATATGGTGAATAGCCAAGGTCTTTTCCCCAGAGTGGCAGTGTCCAAAACTAGACGGCATAGGTTTAAGGTGAGAATGGAAAGATTTAAAAGGGACCTGAGGGGCAACTTTTTCAGAGGGTGGCACGTAGATGGAACGAGTTGCCAGAGGAAGTGGTACAGGCGGGTACAATTACAACATTTAAAAGACATTTGGACAGGTATATGAATAGGAAAGGTTTAGAGGGATCTGAGGCAAACCAGGCAAACAGGACTAGTTCAGTTTAGGATGGTTGGCACAGATGAGTCGATCTGAAGAATCTGTTTCTGTGCTGCACATCTCTATGACACTCTGTCTGTACTGTGCTGTATTGTCAGCCTCCATTTTTGTGCCTCAGCCCTGAAGCGGGACTTCAATCTAAGACCATCTGACTCAAAAGCTGACACATTTATGGTTCAGTCATGGTAACAATAGAGTCACCCAGTCATTTTTAAGTACACAAGGAGGCCATTTGGTCTGCTGAGTCCGTGCTGATTCTCCCTGGAGCAATCCAATTGGTACCACTCCCCTATAATTCTGCACCTTTATTCTTTTCAACTGTCTATTCAACTCCCTTTAGAAATCATTGTTTCTGATTCTATCAGCCTTTGGAATAGCGAGGTGTAGGTTATAACA